TCCTCTAATTCTTAGCATCACCATTCAACAACAAGCTACTAAGAATGCAAACAAAATCTGTGGGAGCCAAGACAAATGGTCTGACCTTTGCCACTGGGAAGGTCAGTTTCACCCCAGGGTTAGCTCCTGCTGGTTGCACGCCAGCAGGACTGAGTAGCTGCCTAGAGTCTGCAGACTCTGGCCAGGGCTCTGGATGTCTGGTGACCACAGAGCAGGGCTTCTGAAAGCCGGCAGCTGGGCCTGCTGGGGGAGTTACTGAAGAATCTAACAGGAGAAGCCACAAGCAGAAAGATGCAGGCTCAGTATCTTATTTGGTTGAAAAGTGACTAAGGAGGCTCCTGATTCAGGGTATAGCACAGTGGCCACTGTCACATGTTGCTTAGGTTAACACATAGTACATCTAAGGTGGTGACTGTTCCCATAACGCTAAAGTGAACAGAACTTGCCACTTCCCATGGGTCCTCTCTGCCCACCCCCAGCCTCTACCCTCATCCCTCAATATGAGACCCTAACTCTTTAGGCTATTAAGACAAGCTGAACACTCACAGTACTCCAACAGGCAGCTCTCTTGATTGTTGTTGAGTCAGATGTTTCTCCCTCCCTTCCACCAATTTCCTTTTTTACTTTCTCAGAAAACAACAAAATTATCATATGGTTTTCTTCGAGTCTCTGCAGCTTGAAATGAGACTGGTATCTAAGCGAGAAATAAAACTCAACAGAAAGCCTCATGGTGGGAGACAGCGACACAGGGTTACGGTCCAGGGCAAGGCTTCGGTAGCCGAGCCACACGACACTCAGATCTCTCAGTTTCTGAGTGACAAACTCACAAAGCGGCTTGCTTATGACCGTGGGAGCAAGACTCTTCCCAGAGGCGGGGACTGAATCTGGACGTGCTCACAGCCCTTTGGGAGTTGCCCAAGAAAGGCTTGTTTCTTTCTGCAAAGTCGGTTTTGGAACTTAGCTACCTCTGCTGGTCTCTGCTGAAGGTCCACCCACGTCCCCTGTGGATGATCTGTTCAGATGGCTCCGCCTGATGTGGGGGCGAGGCCTGACACCTGAGCGGACTGCTACCTGGGGACTGCCTTTCAGAGAACTTGCTGGATGTCTCCTTTTCACTGGTTGGAGAGGTTTAAAAAGCCTGTTTTGCCACAGCATTTGTCTCTCTCACTGCTCCTGTGATGTGTGTCAAGAGCAGCACTGGGTCACCTGAGGCTTCACATTGCATGGTAAGTCACTTATTGATATCGGGCATGCAATGGCAGCTCACCTGCTCTTCTGCAGCACATTCTTATCCCTGAGCTGAAACAATTGCCATGACACCTGACACAACCTGAAGTGGTTTCCCTTCTAGAGGGATCTTCGGGCTATCTTGGGGAAAGGACAGAAGTTGAGGAGGCCGGGAGGATGTGGGTTGGTGTAGCGACCCTTAAGGCATGAAGCCGTCTGCTTCTCTCAGCATAGGCCCCTGCTTGTCCCAGTGCATCACTTGTCCTCCAAGCACAGTGGGCCGCCCTTGTGTCTCTTCAGTCGTGGAGTGCCTGCGTGTGTTCCCATGCGTGAGGCACAGAGAGCCTAGGCCACAGAGATCCTAGAGTCCTGGGTATCCCTGAACATACAGACCTGGTCGTACTCTGCTCACTCCTTTAACCAGCAGTGGGACCTGGCCACACCCTTTACTCCCTGAGCCCTGAGGTGCCTGCTGGTGAAGTCAGGGGGTAGAGCTGGCTCACGGGACCATGGTTTTCACCGCGTCTTAGGTTACTTCCTCTTCTTCATCAACAGCTAGCCCCCTGAGAATCCTGTGTACTTGAACGTTTGATGTTGGTATTAAACTCGAAAACTATGGACTTCTGTGGTTAGAACATGAGAAAACAGGAAAGCATCAACCAGGGCCACCACTGGTTTAACCAACATCTCAGTGAGGATTAGGAAAAAGGGGTCCTCCCTTGTCCCATGCAAGTGAGGCCAGTTCATCCCCTCCCAAGAGGACTCCCGGTTGCTTCCAGCCACACACACCCCCAGCAGTCCTCTTAAAGTGGGCGACCTACATGGTTATTAGCAGGAGTGAAATAGCATAGATGCCCATCGTTGGAGACTTTCATAGTAACAGCTTTGAAACATTTGGTGCAATTCAAAAGCTGAAAGTCCAGGCCTAGGAGGATGCCAAGATGCTACACCAACACGGTGCATCTGATTGAGACAGGTTCAAAAGGCGTGAGCAGCAGTAATAATAAAACCCCTCACACTTTCACAGAGCCTTACAATTTATGTAGCACAGTAAATGTACTTGCTTTTTCAATTTTATTCTGATTCTAACCATTGCTCTGTGGAGTGATAATTATCCCCATTTCAAATTGAAGGCAAACGAAGCTGAGAGCTTCAAAGACTTGTTCAAGGGCAGCTAATAAGTGGTCAAGCTTGGGATTGAATCCACGTCTAACTCTGAGTCAGAGGTGTTTTTCTAGCATGTAAGTGATTCAAGATCCTGACGTGGGCCTTGGCAGGCAGACTTAGAGGGTCTGGAATTATTCTGAGCAAGTCACCCTTCTTGTTTGCACCAAGGCAGGCCTCACCCACCTGGATGCTGTGATGGGAGACTTGAGGTCTGATCTCTGGACAGGTCCTAGCAGATCTTACAAATAAAGTGGGGTTTTTCACATGGGGAGTGACTCCTAGGGATTCATTCACATAGGCAAATGCACCTGGACTTACTGACCCCCAAATTCTCTCCACCATTTTAGGAACTGCCCTGCCAGAAACCCCTGCGAGTCTGGACAGTCACCTGCAAGTTACCACACCACGTGATAGAAACATCTAGAGGCCACTACTTCCAAGTCCAAGACCCTTCATCCCTGAAGAGTTCTCACTGATGGTGCCATCACCGACCCGCCATCTGCCTCCACACTGCTTCTGGGCACATCTGGGTGGCAGCAGCCTCCACCTCTCTCCTACCACTAGCCCTGTATGCCAACCGCCTGCCACAGATGTTGACCTGGACAATCTCCGTGTGACCTTCTCATACAGTCCGCTCCTCTCCTTCATACCATCTCCAGGCCTGACATCGCACACAGCACACCTCCCCCTTCCTCCAGCTCAGCCCTAGGATACACACACTCCTCCCTTAACAGACTCACTTAGAGTGATTCTGCTCCCTAAATTCCACTGCAATCCAGGCCCTCCCTCATCTTGCCATTGAGGTCCCCATGAACTCTGCTTCGCATACCCCCAAGCTCCCTTCCATCTAGCCAATGGTTCTCCCTCCAGATGCAAATGTGACTACACTCTTCCTCTCCTGAAAACCAAAACAGCTTCCCAGCGCTACAGGACACTTCATTCTTTGTACCCAAGAGGCACAGCCCCCACTCCAGACTGCTCCCAGACGTTGTCACTGACTTTGTTCTCACTTCTGACCACAGCATGACTTTCCATCGCTTCTTCAGCGCTGACTTTCCAGATGGTTTCTAAGGAAAACATTGTTGTTCCCTCCATCGGGGTATTCCAGTGGCCCATGGCTGGCATGGATTTTACTCTGAGCTGTAGTGTGTCTGTACCTGTCTTGTGTACCAGGCCAGGTTCCCTGAAAGCCGTGATGCCCTCTGAGTGGATGGGCAGACGCACCGCCCTCTCCCAGATCAGGAATTCAGCTGCTGGAGTGCTCATTATGGTCTTGAGTTTCGTCTGGAGGGAGAAGAAACCCTCTTTCCATTCCACAGGCTAGTAGTGATCAAGGAAGGAACCCAGAGAAACGTGTGTTGCAATGTGTCTCTACATTTTCTATGCAGTGAGGATGAGGAGGCAGAATTTCAGACAAAGCAAAAGACTGGACCAGACATTTCTGTATAATGTGTCCGCAGTCCAGCACTGGGCAAGGCTAGACCATCAGATTACGTGGCTGATGGATGTGAGTCAGCTTAAACATTGGAAAGACCCTGGAAACATTCTTTAGGTAGAATTTGCAAATCTTTTATGAAAGAGAAAAGATGGAACAATGCAATTTTAACGTCTAGCTTTTTGTAAAGTAAGACTTTCTGGTTATCCAGCAGGATTTAGGAGTGGAAGTTTCTTAAAATTGGCCTCAGGTTCTCATGCTTTTCCCCCCCTTCTCCCTCGAGTGAACCAAGTGCAACAGCTTTAGATGAGAGGCGCTTCTGAGGCACTCAGGTGTACGTTCTAGGAGGATCCACAGGGCAGCCTGCGAGGAACCGGCACCCTGGCTGCGTGTTTTCTGCTAAATTAGGGCAAGAGCTGGCCTCCTCTGAGTTTCCCTGCAGCACCAGCCCAGGCAGGACTGGGGCTCCCGCTGGCTGATCTCTATCACTGAGTTAACTCTACCATTGCCCAATAACCGCGCGCGCGCGCGCGCGCGCGCACACACACACCTCCGTAAAACACATCCTCTTGGCGTCTCCCATTCCACCTTCAGGGATCGGAGTGAGTCTGCGGTGGGACCGCAGCCGGAGTGCAAGAGGTTAGGAAGATAATCTGTGTTAGGGCCAACTTCCTGGAGGCCTGGGACTGGCAGACAGGTACCCACGTTGCTCCTGGCTCTGGGCCATATTTTCGGTTTTTTGGCTAACTTCAGGACCCCGTTGAAATTAGGGGCTTCACTTAGCATGGGGAGGAAACATCTACGCTCCACACGCTCTCAGGAGGCTCCCAGGCCTTGACTTTGTCCGAGGCACACAGAAAAGTACAGCTGTCCCTGTCCAACTACTCCCCGTGGCCGCCCCGTGCGGACTCCGCCGAGGAGCGCGCCGGAATGGGCTCCAGACAGGGGGGCGCGGTCCAGGACCCTCGCCGAGGAGGGCGCAGAGCCACCCCAGGAGGCGAGCTGGAGGCAACTCCTCCGTCCCGCGCGTCCCCGGAGCCGGCCGGTCCCATCCTTCTCAACTGACACAAGAGTGGAAGTCCCTTGTCAAACGAGGGCGGCGTCGCGTCGCAGTACTTTAGAAAACACAAACACCACACACACCCCAACGCCAACAAGTCTGGAAACTCACCTTCCCGTCCGTAGTCGGGCTTCCTGGAGCAGCGGTGGCCTAGGAACGTGTCTGGTGGCGTCCCGTGGGACCGCAAGGCAGGCAGCAGTGCCAGCGAGGGCTCGGTCCGCCCCAGCCGCCGGATCCCCGCCCCGCGCCCGCCCGCCGCCGGGGCTCGGAGGGAGCCGCCCCGTCCCGCCCCGCGCTTACCTGCCGCCGCGCCCGGAATGCGCCCTCGTCGCTCCCGCCCGCCAACCGCGGCCGCCCGGCGCACTTGGAGGTTGCGCTCCCGTCCGGTCCTGCCCCTGGATGCCAAGCGCCCAACTTCCTGCATTGGGCTCGCGGGCGTTCGCCCTGCCTGTCTCGGCCCAGGCTTTGCACCCGGCGCTGATCGAGTCCTGGTGCGTCTGGGTAGGGGCGCCCACGCCCCAGACCGCCCTCCCCGCGTGCCCTGCAGCCAGCTCCCCCTCCGCCCCGCCATGACGTGTTCCTGCCCCCGAGGCCCGGCCCGGGTGGCACCTCCTCCAGGACGCTGAGCGCTCGCGTTGACCGGCTCACCGGGATTCCCTGGGACCTGAGACACAAACTTGGGGATACAAACTGTGCAGAGTTCTCCGAGAGGGCGGGAGGAGTGTGGAGGGGTACCGTGGGGCCAACGTATGCGGGTGGACCAGAACCATAACGCCTCTTTCCACACTGAGGGATCCCAGAGGCAAGGGCCGTACCTGGGGAAGTCTTGCAGGTTCTCGCTGAAGGAATTGGGGAAACCAAGAACCAGTAGGTGCTGTCAGCCTAGCTGCCTCTCATCTCTTTCGTGTTTTATCCACTTTTTATTTGAAGTTTGGGGTCCAGCTCTGAGCAGCCAGACTGCTGGGCAATGTTGGACACAGATCTCTCTGATGGCCTGGGGCAGGGGGCATGCCATGCGTTTCCAAGCTCGCTGTGGGTGGATGGAGATGATGTCAGGTTCTGGCTGGGGTAGCGGACTCTCCCAGAAATATCTTTGGAGAGCCTTCCATGACACAGACTCGAGTTTCTGCTTTTTGGCCGAGTCTGCCAGGTGCACCGGTACCAGATGCTGAGCTGGGACTTGCTCTCAACTGACTGTGTCAACACTGGCATCCTTTGTGTGAGAGCATGAAAATGATGGGGGCAGCCAAAGTGTTACAATTAAGAAGGGAGAGCTCCCTCTGTTTATGCTGGAGGAACCAAATGGCTTTGAGCTGAAAGGCCAAAGAGAAAACCCAGCACTCCAGCCAGAAATGCCACGGATGGAATGGGACAAAACAAGAAGATGTTTTCTTTCAAAGGAGGGTTAGAGGAGCACTTCCTTCCCCGGAATCCAGGTGTAGTGCAGGAAGTCTGGAAATGAATGGGAGCAAGGGGAAGAGGAGTCCCACTATCAGGTCGGTGAGCACAGAGTCGGACAGGGCTGGCACAGCGGAGGAGTAAGGCTCAGCTTTGAGACAAGATATGGTGTTCTTAGACATGGACCAGAGCAATTACTTGGCCATGTGATGTGTTTACCACGCTGGAAAAGCCCCATCTCTAACGACGTTTTGAGCCAAAAACTATTTACCTGTGTAGACTTGGTCCCCTTACGACTAGAGCCGGAAGCAAGAGGTTGTGTGGAGTCTGTTAGAGCTTGGGGTAGACAGGCTGATGGGGTACCTGCGTGGGGTTTAGTGCCAGCTGGAGGCTTTGCGATTGAGGGCCCTGTCTGCAGCATTATGCATGTCATTCAGTCTTTCACAACAGCTTCTCAAGATACAGCATTGCCCTCATCTTAGACATGGGGAGACCTAGGTTTGGAGGAAGTGGGAGCTGGGTGGGGCTCCAAGTATTCCTGACCTCCCAGTCTGGCTTCTTCCATAGCCTCACCTGTTGGGCATAAAGTAGCTTTGTATAAAGGAATCCCACCCTTGAGCAGTGGCAATGTGCAAACTTCCGGAAACACCAGTAAGGAATTGTGCTGTGAAAAACACTTTGCTGAAAATCTGGAGCAACCAGCTGAAAATCTGGCTGACCTGACAGTCATGTAGGGTTGCTATTGGAGAACACAGGAAGAATTGGAGAATTCTCAGGAAATGACCAAGGCAAAGAGCCGAAGCCCAGAGCTTCCCAGGCGTGGCTGAGAAGATAGAAAGAAAAGCAGAGGCCACACATAAGGTGTGTGACTCTCTAAGCTCTCCCCCTTAACAAGCAGGCAAGCCTTGTGCTCACAGCTAATAACTCCTGGGGCAAAGAGATGGGGATTTTGAGATGTATTTGTCTGTACTGGGTTGCTAGGGCTGCAGATTTGTCGAGACTAACAGCATCAGGCACATGTAAAGGTGGCAGAGGAGAAGGCGTGCGGGAATTCTCACTCTGGGGCGGGGGGTTGGTGCCCCTGTAAATGTGAAAGCAGCTCAGAGCACCAGCCTACTGTATCATTCTCCTGGCTTTGGAGTCCCACTTCCCAGGAACTGCTGAATGGCCCTGGACAGCCACAGTGCGATGACACTGTGCATCATCTTGGTTATTTTTCTTGTTTTCAGTAAGGGTATTTGAAGGTGGTCTAGAAGTCGGTGTACTCTTACCAGAGTGAAAAGGGATATTCACATCTCATTTTAGAAAAGAAACCCAAGTAAGCCAGTTTGTGAACTGAGAGCGGAACTTGGAGCCCTTTTTTTGGTGGCCCCTTTCCTCCTATCTACGGTAGCACCTGCTGAATTCTGGTTTCACATCAATATATTACTAGCTGAAAAGAAAAAGGGGCGGCTACTGCCTTCCTCTCACATGCTGTAAAAATCAGTGGCACATTGAGTATTCAACCTGAGCCTATTTTGAAAGCTCCAACAGTCTGCTTGCTTTTCTTTCTTGGTGAAACCCTGTTTCAGACAGGCTGACTTGCGCTATTGGACAGAACTGACCCACTGGTGCCGCCTGTAGACAGCCTTCCTTCTGGTTTGCAAATCAGGCCAAAGGTAGACTCTGTGTCTACTGTAATAGGGTAGCGCTCAGGACAATGTTGCACAAAATAGGTCTGTTCTTTGGCGTGGGGAAATATTAAACCAAGAACATGACCTTGCTCTCGCCTGAAACTGGCATGTTCTCACTTGCAACACTGTGTTTTAGAGGAAGTCCCTGAACAGCAACCTGGATGTTTTGAGGAACTGACTGGAACTTAGAAGGCCAGCTGCCAAGGCAAGAGTGCTCGGGAGGAAATGATTAGGCTGCGAATGATGTGGATAAGATGAGTACCGACTTGTCGGTCGCATCCTGAACTACAGCAGTGTTTTGGAACCATCAGGGAGGCAAGTTCGGGACAAGTCAGCGGAAATACTACTGTACACAGCAGGTAATGGATTTGTGGAATGCATTATTATCCGGAGGTGGCGCAAGCTGGCAACAAAAATGGATTCCATAGGGGTTTGGACGGCTATGAGAATGCAAGGGCCGCGATAGAGAGCTGATGGAAGCTGAGATGTACACCATGTGGCTGGAAGCAGAGCAAGGCCCACTTGTCCTTTACACAGTGCCTTCCCCGGGGGTCTTGGTGGACAAAAGACTCCTGGATTCCACAGAGCTTTGATCTGAACCAGTGGGCGATATTAAAGCCACTTCTTCATTCTATGACCTTTGCCCTTTGCATAAGCCTTTTTGCCTAAGTCTCACAGCACATTTAAAAGGCATTGCCTTTTCATTTTGGCTCTTGATTTCTAAACAGATTTGAATGTCTGCCTTCACACTGGCTATTATATTTATCTCTTGCAATTAGATTTATGTTTAGGTCTCGTACCCTAAATTGGCTATTTCTGACATGAATTGCCGATCGTGACAGCTCCTCTAAAAACAGTTGCAACAACATACTTTTCTGGGAACATTTTTTTCTATGTAGTGTCCAAAGTGTCTCCAGTATTGTACCCAGGATGACAGAAAAAAAAATGTTACTCTTATGGCCACAGCTTCATTATTGGCAGTGGGGCAAGTTCAAGAGATTCTTAGAAGTCTCCTCTGATTGTCCACCTGTCTTCCCATTCTGCTCCATTCATGCTGTGCCTTCTTTAGCTCTCCTGTAAGTTGCAGCGAGTGGAGTGGCAGCTGGGAGGCCCTTCCTTTGCACCTCTAGGGCTCTAAAGGGTTCAGTTTTCATTTTCTGTTTCTGGTTGACAGTCCCCCAGGGCTGTGTCTTTAAAGCTATTTTTACAGCACTCTCACTGGCTGTTGTAAAGTGACCAGGCACTGCTGCTCAGAGCTCCTTGTGGGGATTCAGCAGGCTTTGTTCAGATGGAAACAGCAGGTCTCTGGATTGTTTTTTGTGGCAGGCCTCTCAGGGAAGGAGGGGAGCCCCGACAGGGTTCTCACTGCACCTCTCTTCGCAGTTTCTCTTCTCTCAGGGATGGGTTTACTTATCTACTGAGCCGGTTTCATATAGCATTTACGTGGCCCAGGTAGAATCATTCTCGTTACTTGGTCAGAGAGATCCTTGGGAAATCCCTACCTGCCCAGCCCAGAACGTTCATTTTGGCAGAAATTTTTGTGAAGGCTGAAATTGCTCGTTCCTCTTGCCTGAGGGCCCACAAAGTGACTGTGGCTTTGCAATTTGCTTCCTTAACTACCTCAGTGACTCAGAACATGGGGGTTACGGTGAACAAATTTCCTCTCCATCTGCTGAGCTAGCTCTTTTTAAGACAAGTTTAAAAGGAAGGGATTACAAAACCTTCATGAAACAATGGGTTTGCCTTCAGTGACCAGAACTGCGTTCATTTTCTGCCCATTTTAACTACTATTGACTTTTTGCTGTCTATGTGCCGAAGTGTTGGACTAGCAGCTAATTCATGTTGTGTTTGGATTTCTAACAATCCTGTGAGGTTCCGCTGTCATGCCCATCTAACAGATGAGAGGTGGGAGATTTAGCAAAGTTAAGGATGTATCAAAGGTTAAATGGCAGACAGGATTTAATAAATAGTTAGACATGCATCTATTCAGGCCAAAAATGTCCCTAGTAACAATGTGGAGTTTCAGATAGGGCCTGGGCTTGTGGCATTGCAGCCTAAGTACTTGCTCCCACCCGATACCTGCATCCCATATTGAATGTAGAAGGGAGATTCTCCTGTCTCTCTCTCTTTACCTTTCACGTAAACAAATCTTTAAAAAACAACCCATTCGA